TATAACCTACAAGTGCCTCAACAATCAAGCTCCTTCCTATCTTTCGGACTTACTCAACCACTATGTCCCTAGCCGTTCTCTACGCTCTAAATCAAAGCAACTCTTCTGTGTGCCTAAAGTCAGAACAACAACTTATGGTTAACGTGCATTTGCCTTTGCCGCCGAATCATATTGGAACTCTCTTCCTCAGATGATCCGTCTCTCGGGAACTCTATCAACAAGCCTCTAAACCCATCTTTTCAGACAAGCTTTTCTTCCCTGAATCTTCTCTCAACTGTGCGCTTGGAGCAGGCATTGAGCATGGAACTTGCGCTACACAATTGGACTGTCGTTATGTTATGTTATGTTACGTTACGTTACGTTATGTACTGTTTTGTACTAGTTGTACAGCTGTAATGTTGTCGGCTACAATTTTAAACAAAGCTAAGGACAGCTCAGCTATATCAACAGTCATTGAGATAAACTTGCTTTATGAAAGTGCACCGATGGCATTTCATTGAGAACACATAAATATATATGTTATGTACAAAATTATTATCCAAAACGCGAATCAATTCACGTTACCTTCTCTTGCATTAGCTGACACGCAGTGATACACGAACTGTGCAATGCGGCGTAAAATCCAACTCACTCATGTGGACGCAAAGATTTGTTTGTGCAGTCGTAGTAAGACGAAGAAGGTTAAAGTGTGTTCGTGTGATGGTCCCGTATTCCTCTCATATAGGGTTTATTGGCAATGCATAATGTCAATTTATGGCTTTTTTAACAACTTTATGCTAAACTCTTAACATCATCTACGTCTTTCATGAATGTGCTAAATCTACCAATAATATTTGAATAGAAGAGTTTATATCATTGAATGTTTTATTGATAAATTTCAAAAGCTTTAATTTAAACTGGTGTTATATAAAAGTAATCCGGCCTTCATATAATATAGGCATGGTCCGACTTGTATGAATTTTATACAGATCGTCAAAGAGTTTATGATGATTCTCGGAAATAAACTGACACCCTCCAGGAGGATGTATATCCGTATATGTTTCCTAACGTGCATAACCTGATCTCGCGAGACAAGGCGAGATATACCCTCCTCCCTAACGAAGTTCATGAGACTTTGTTACACGTCTGTGTAGGTTAACAAGGGTATCAGACTAATAACAAACCAATGACGACGAAAACGGTAACCAGAAGTAGATGTGGTATGAAAGCTTTAAGTCAGTGTAGATTGACACCAATATATAAGGGTCTCCTGTCCCGCTCAGTATGACGTCACAGCACCAACACGAGCGTTCTTCACGCTGCCACTGCTGCCACTGCGGGACAGTCGCGACCAGTCGATAAATTGGATTAATCTCAGCCCTCTCTCCCAAATCAAGTCATCTCTCAACCAGGGCGTTCCACATCTGCCTGTTATTAAGTGATAAAATCTGAGCTTGACAGGCGAGGTGAGCCCTGTTTGTAAGTCGTTTTAATTGGCTTCCAGTTATTCACAATTTTTTCGGTCTAAGACGTTCTGACAAAGCCATTTAATTTGTTTACTTGCTACATAAACAGAAGGCCATGCTAAGCAACTGGCAGTTTTCGTGTAAGTCACTCTTGTGAACGACTGGTTTATAATGGGGATTTTTTTTATTGTGGAAGAGCAATTTAACAAACTTCATCAAAACTGACTTGGGGCTACTTTATAACACTTTTCAGGTGGCCCTAACCATGGATAACAGAATGTTGTGTTAGGTCACAGACGTAAACGCGTCAGGTACAAGAATGGCGTTTTTATTAATCCTAATTCCGGTAAATGGATCGGAATGTGTCTGTGTGTCCAACTCGTCATCAGCCTCGTTCTGAGTTCCATGACAATCCCGAGTTATAAATGACTGAATTAAGGGGTTATCCATAACACTCCCATCACTCACAAGCAAACTCGGCTCGTTCATTATAGATATTACCCTGATTTGGTCCAATCTGACAACGGCTGAATAGCTGCTCCCAAACATAACCTAATGTCTACACCTTCCGTTGTACTGCTTATAATCCGAGCCCTCATCGTTCTCCTGCTGTCGTCTAGAACACAAGCCCCAGTCTGCTTCAATGTCCAGACAATCACACTATCAACCCGTCAGACAAAACTTACTCAGCTTTTTCCGGTTTTTAAAGTATTGGATACGTTACTTTACGGTTCGGTCCAGGTTAATTGATCCGAATTCGAGAATAAATCCTGAGCCATGCAAAACGTGACAACTCATTTTTCAGCCGAGCTGCCGTGGAACAATTGATAGGCGTTACAGTTCAGACATGCAATTGTTTTGACATATACGTTGAGGATGTGTTAAGACCTTTGCGCTCTCGCGAACAGCACCATCAGTCATTTCTGATACTCTTGAGCTCCAGACAGAATGGCCACGACTCAACCCCTTTCCTTGGTGCATTGTGGGTAATCCATACAGGCATGTCTCGAAACGAGCTGTCCGAAAGTTGAAAGTGAATCCTTAATCGAAATAAGACTTGCAATTGGAATATTATTCCTTTCTGTGATCTATGGGTGTTTGCATATTTAGATAAAGAGATGGTATCCCTCGGGTACAAGAAGAGACGTCCGGCAATGGCCATAGTCTGGTCAGGGTCTAGACGTTGTAAATAGTGCAGTGTGAATTTAACAAACATTCTACCGACATCAGGATAATCAAATATTATATGATTGGCATTCATCAGAAATTTTGAGCTCGTAAGGAGCTAATCGATGCTGAACCAAATATCATAGGAATGTAAATTTTTTGGCTCGAGCGTGGCGTTGATGTGTTTGACGCAGTTGAAAAGCATTGTTCCTGATTCTATTTTTTTTTTCGTACTTGTGTAATTTACAGCCCAACTCAGGAATATTCCCTGCTATTTGACGTTGTAAATAAGTTGACCATACACTCCAGATACTACGAGCAACGCCAACCGATTTAGCCCGACTTCGCCCCTACCCCTATCCGTCGGTATAGGATAACAAACTCTGAGCTAGAACACATCCTCTTCATCCGATCCCCATGTTGTTCGATGGGTAGTTCTCAGGATGGCTGGCTATCAGAGCTTACCTAAAAGTGTGATTCCTCCTCTATATATCCGTTTGCCTACTCAGTCAGAGGTTCCCGTGTGCCACGTTAAAGTTCCAGATGATAAAGTGGCCGACTTCTGTATATGGACACTTCGATATCTTGAAAAAATATGGCAAAAATATATCAATTTTGACGCATTTGTCTTCAACAGTTAGCAGTTGTTACCAGGAAATACTTTCTAACATAAAACCTTTTTATCATATTTTGTGATATTTTACATTTGGTTTATGGTAAGAAAAGTAAGGTCGTGATTTGTGATGAGTCATGAGAATTTATGTACACAACTGCTGGAATGCTACTGGTTCAGCCTTCAATCAGGGGCACTTTATAACTTGTGTCGCAATCCACTAATGTAGAAACGTTACATAATGTCAACGTCGTCTTCTTTAACGTCAAACTGACGTGCGTTAAACAAGTTCACGTCGATATAAAAACCATCTTCTCGATACATAAATAACATAACTAAATTTAAAACAGCCTTAAACTTCAAATAAAAGATAAAATGGCAGGTCATTTGTGGAATCTCTTTTCCCAGTCATATTAATACGGTAATAAAGCTGAGCGCCAGTCGTCCATGTGAGGCTGGAGATGAAGCTGTAAAATCTGACATCAGTTATGTATAATTTATTACTTAACATCCACTTCAGTCGATAAGCGTCCCGTCTCAGCTTGCTGGGGACGACGTGGTGGAATGGGGGATAGGGTTGGGGGGTATAAGGGAGGGGGAAACTGAAACATTATTTTGACAGGACTATTGGCAGAGTGAGTGAGTAAGCTTTTACTCTGCTTTTGACTTCATTCTGGCATGCCACGACGGAATACCCCATGAAAAGGTTATACGCAGTGTACATCCTGAAAATGTGAGAAATGGAACTTTTGCTTTGGTCTCTTTGCTTGCGAATTTGTAGTCCGAGACATTTTTACGAATCAGTGGCATCGTTGGAAGGAATCCTACTATGTACAGGAGTCGTAAACTAAAATCCCCACTCTTGGCATTAGCAAGTCTGAGCGCTGCAGAGGTAGTAGGGAGCGGGGTGTGCAAATTAAAGAAATGAGGAAGAAATTTAGGGGCATGGCCACTGCATTCACACATCAATATCTCATTGCCAACTGAGCAGCAAGATTAGGTACAGTTTGGTGATTAACAACATTTTGAAAACTAAGGGTCGGCAAGGAGGCAAACATCGATTGACTCTCATTGGCATAAACACCTATCCAGCTGTCAGACCACTCTTCGGTCGTGTACTGTGTAATGACTTTCTGTCTGAGCAAAGAGGGAAAGAAAAGAAAAGTAAGAGGTCCAATTGTTTTAAAGACATGGCGGTTTATAACAGTTTTATGTTTAAGACATATTTACATTTGAGCTATCACCATTTAAAAGGAGAAAAGTATCCGATCTTTCAAAGAAATCTAGATACGGGAAAATTATGCTCATTTGTTGTAAAAACTATCTTTGTTGTAAAAACTTAATTAACCTCCATCTCCCCCCTACTAGACTCATTTGCTGGTGTATAGTTTAATAGGAGTCTGATTGTAACTGTAATTGGTGAGTATACGTGTGGGTTTCAACATTACTCGGCTTATGTAGCTAGAAGGCTTGTTGGCAGCTACGACAGTCGCAGCGCTCACATTGCCCGACAACTTCATTCCTTGCCGTTGGCTGCTACCTTACAGTTCACGCATGGCTATATCTGTATCTATATTATATGGCCTGTATACTGTTGTCTGTATACTATATTCTATATTATATGGCCTGTATACTGTTGTCTGTAAACTATATTCTATATTATCCCTTTCACTATCACACTATCTTCTGTACTATATAACTTTATTCGTTTGTCAGATATTTGTAGTCGTGTTTAACTAATGACCGTGTTCGTTTTTCGACAGTTGGCTTTTCAGAGGTCGAGATGACTCAACGCTTGAAGTCTTCCGGGTCATTCAGCAGTGCGTTCAGCAGGTCTACAAGCGCCACTCAAACATACAGCAACGGCAACAGCATCAGCACGCAGACGTTGGACAGCATGGAACAGGTGTTCGACGACGAGGATGTTCAACTTTAAAAATACAGTGCAGACATATGTAGAAGTGGCAGGATGAAGGACACATACCTGCTGCAAGATGAATGACCAAATTGTGAGTCGCTGATATTGAGATTATATAGTTCCAATCAGTTGGTTGTAAATTAGATCTGGTCTGTCACCTCACGTGTACCTGCCACAGCTGGCACGTGTCGTTAATTGCCCGGATGAATGAGTAATCGCTGTCCGAAGAAGGTTGGCGGGATTCACTGCTGTGGACACATGAAGTGGATTTCGTGGGGAAACAGATCCATTAACGTTGTTGATTGTGAACGGTCTACAGAATAATCCCCGTGACGTACCGATGGATAATGATAGGACACAGATATGCCCAGACTTGTCATTGACGTGTCTAATGTTAGTGTAATGTCAAGGACGAGGACTAGGGATCATGTGAAGGGTCGTGGACGCTTGTCAGTGTCGATGCCGCCAAGGTCACGTGTGAAATTCCACGCCGTGCATGTTCACACAACGGACGTATATTGTAGGTGTAGTGAACTTCCACCGTGACACAAGAGGAGAAGGGGCTGCAAAAACGCTACCTTCGCGTTCGGACTTAGAGCAATGGAAGTTGTGAGGAATTCAGATTTGAATTATTGTCGTTAGAGTTTGGCCGGCCAAGTAGTTGTGAAGAACAAAGTGAAGATTTGAAATAATGCACAGCATTGTAACTTCAAACACAGTTTCGCTGGGCTATGATTGGTTGAGAAGAAAGTGCAGATCTGAAGTATACCTGTCTTATTATGACTTCAAAGAGCTAGCTGAGACAGCTGTGAAACCATGGGCCACATCTGCAGGTGTGCTGATTGTATAGTGCAGTCATTCAAGTTAACTTAGTCATGTTAACTGTTAACTGTAAAGAGTTGAGCGAAGTTTCTTCTGAATCCATGGCCAAATGGGTATTACTTTCTCAGTCCATTGAATTCATTTAATCTGATAGCTGCTAAACTTGTAATGTCTGACTTTGTCGCACGTTTATTGCCTCTTATTGTCTTTCTTACATGTCGATAATTGACGAAAATCTCGCTTCCTTGTGTTCGGTCGACATGATGATTATTCTATATTGTTTGTAGTCGTCATGCTTGTAGAAAGAAACTGAATGGACACCGTGAATATTTGAATGGAATATTTTAATAATTATGCATTTTCTTTAATTTCTGTAACTGCTTTAAATCTGTTAAAAATGACTAGATAGTTGACTAGACGAAACTAGATGGAATTAGAGGTCAGTTCTTGCCAACATTTGCTCCCCCCACTCAATATGGCATGACGTCTTCATTGTATATATGTAAATACATTCATAGAACTAACCCTTGTCGATGTTATTACTCTCAAATGTGGCTTTATGTGAGTGTGTGGTTGAACAAATACATTGATATTTATGACATCATGCAAACCACTAATTTTATACTCACATATATGAATGCACGAATGTAACAGCGAGCGTTCGTCACCGATTGTACTTGCATGATGCGAGAAAATGATCCCATCGATGTCATCATATATATAGACGTGTTATCAGTCATGTGTTATCATTACAATGTTATCGTTCTTGAGGTAAATGTTATCAATACTGATACTGATGTTATCAAGATTATCAACCGTTGTCATAGACGTTATTGCAGTGTTATCTCCCATGACGTGTTGTCATCGTAACCTATGACGTCATCACAACCGCGTCACAGTGACCCCATTTAACATCAATGTATGTAAAAATATGTTTTTAGCTGTAAACACGAGAACGTAACATCCGTTCAGTGTCGCTAAATTCGTCTTTTTATACATTATTACGTGGTAGTGATGACGTCATCACATGATGATAACATTTCTTTATGTGCTCGTATAACCAATATTGTATCGTATTTCAGTGACAATTATATTTGATTTCGTTTTTGCTACCTAAAACCTGTATATATTACAATGCCAGTTTCAATCTCGGAATGATTTATGCCATGTCAAAATGCCTAATAAAGTTTTCTAAAGGCAATATAGTATATTTGTTGGAGATTACCGCTGTGCTTGAGAAACTGCATACTCGTGAAGATCCTGGTTAGAATTGATCTTCTGTAACCCATGCTTGTCGTAGGAGGCGACTAACGGGATCGGATGGTCAGGCTCGCCGACTCGGCTGACACATGTCATCGGTTCCCAATTGCGTAGATCGATGCTCATGCTGTTGATCACTGGAGTGTCTGATCAGACTCGATTATTTACAGACCGCCGCCATATAGCTGTAATATTGTTGAGTGCGGCGTAAAACTAAACTCACTCACTCACTCCAGTTGAAGACGTTGTCAAATTGTGGCAAGATAATACCTCCAGTAGAAGTCAGCTGTAATCGTTACGTCCCTCTACACGGAACCTGCGTTTGGGTTTTGGCTATAGTTTGAAACTTCAGCTGCATATCGCTGGTTCCATGTTGCGATATATGTTTATAAACCCTGTTCCCAGGTGAGTATTAGAAGTATCTTGTATTAGAATGAGTGAGTGAGTATGGTTTTACACCGCTTTTAGCAATATTCCAGCAATATCACAGCGGGGACACCAGAAATGGGCTTCACACATTGTACCCATGTGGGGAATCGAACCCGGGTCTTCAGCGTGACGAGCAGACGCTTAACCACTAGGCCACCCCACCGCCCCTCTTTTATTAGAAATATGGAGGGTGATATATAGATTATGCAATGCATTTATTATTTTTGTCAATCGAAACCCCTTGGTAGCCTGTCAATAAACGAATCACCTATGGGTTTTGCTGTGGGTTTGACGATTGCTTCGGGAAACCGGGCCCCAGGTTGTAAAATGTGTAACAGTTGACTGATGGCAGCTCTACAGTAGCTTCATCACTAATCAGATGAAGCGATGTTTGCGTTGACGGTGCCGTTGATAAATCATGTTCTTATTTTTTTAAACTTATTCAGATCAGCTTCTATCTCAGATAACCTTCGTCAAGATCAGGGTTCGGGTTAAGGTCAGGGTCGTGATGGTTCGTTTCCAAATTAAATCAATCTAATTGAAAACAGCTCTTTTACCCCGATGTGATACTTCTCTGTGTGAAAGTTTGAGATTTTGTGTTCTGTGTCGGTTTTCTTTTGCTGAAATCGACGTTCCAGAATCGTGTTGAAGAGATTAAACCGATTCGTTTTGGAAGCTGACATCTTACTCCTGCAAAAACCCACACATCCTTCGTTCAGACCTGGCGTTCAATGTCCACACAGGGATCACCTGGCGCACCCTGCCGTGGAGTATTGTCTGGAGCTTCACGCAGAGGCATGGCGGTGAAAGATCTGGTATTGATGACCTTGCTCTCTAATGACTTTACGATTGCAGAAACATTCAGGAGTCGCAGTTCAATTCGCCGACATGCTCATCCGAGCTGCTCTAGTGTCACTGTAACTTGTCCTCGTTAGATGAATTCCTGATATCAGTCGCCTATGTCCCATGTTCTGACAGAAGATATTGCTAAACTGGTAAACGCTAACCTGGTAGACTGACCGACTGGGACATTACTTTTGTCAACTTACACAAAAGATCATTTGTGGACTGAAACCATTTCCGGACAACATGAAAACATTATGAAAAATGCCTTGTGAAATGACATGTCTCAACGCTGTATATCATCCCCTGAGATTACAGCAAGGACAATGTGAAAGGGTACAAACTGTATATCGCTAAACGTTCAATGACTTCAGTTATGAGCCCTTAGTAACAGCATTATCAACGTCGCGAGAAACCTCCCAACAGGGTGGTGCTGCCTTGAGTTTGTGTTTTAATACTGTTTTAAGTTCTAGCCTCCACTTGGAAACCACCGTTAGTTGAAACCACCATAAAATGTCAGTCACTGTTTGTTTTTGTTTTTTTTGTTCTTCTGGGCTGCCTAAGTCTTAAAGCTTCGTTTGTATATAAGGATTAGGTGAAGGAAACGGTGGGCAAAGTAGGCCAACTATGGCCTGCCTCCTACCAGGATAAGAGGCATAAACACATGCCAATAGAACCAAAGTTTGTTTCTACTTTTGTTTTTATCAGTTCCACCAAAGTTTCCACATCCACACCTACCCCCGAGAGGTGGGATATTTCTCGTTATCATCACGTTCGGGTTGACCAACTTAACACAATTATATTGCCTTACAAACTCACAGAACTTAAAGCCGAAAGCATCTATTACCTACCATAAAAGTACGTGTCTGATAACGGATTCACCTAGCCGTTTAACGGATAACCCGTAAGGTTTGTAAGACAAAACGTGTTCGTGAATGCTTGTCGTGCTGTGCCAAAATGCTCATACTATTGAATGTCTATTTTCACCACACGTTCTTCAGCTTAACTACGATAGACAGCCTGAAGTTGGATGGGCAAATGCTACAACTCCATATGTATATGCATGTCCATATATCAACCCTTCCGGTGTGCTTTAATGTGCTTACTTGCCAGCGCCTTGTGCAAGTGGTATGGCTCTGGTGCCATTCGTTGTTGGTCGGTAACACACAACACATAACAAGTTCAGCAAACGGGTCTCCTAAACAGCCTGAATGTATGCTTCACATAGTGCGTCTGACCTATACCTGCGAGTTCCTATTAATACATACACACGCGACGGAGACACACACGCACACGAATACAAACGAACACACACGTATCGAGAATCACAGGACAAGTTCTACCAACGGGTCTCCTGCAGTGGGTCCCGGCATGTGTGCCTACTATCACCGGTTGTATACCTGCTAGTACCTGGTTTTACAAGTGACACACACCCATTCACACCTTCAAACACATGCATTGAGTAGAAATACTCACACTCACTCACTCACATGCATACATACACACACTTACGCACGTACTCATAGATTTTAGACTGAAGAATGATATGTTTATTTTCAACCCTCATCACACAGAAACACACGCACACGCACATGCACACACACAAAGCCCTATACAACGAGAGCGTGTTTAGTGACAAGAACATGACTTGTCTTGCACGAGATCTCGTGA